GACTCAATCAACCACCAGCTACAGTACACACCTTGGCCAGAAGAAATTGACAGAATATAGAGTGATTCGAGCAAGAATTCCTACAAAGATTCTCATCAGAGAATGACAACAACCTTAGATGGCTTACAAAAGTTACCCAACCTCAAGGAGTCCGTTACAACACCCTATCTTCACGGCCAGGCAATAAACAACCTCCCAAGACCGCTAGCAAGGTCCGCGGAATGTTTGATACGACCTTAAAACACCTCTATATGGTATAGGTTAGGCTGTTTACTGCCTGTGCCGACAAAACAGGCTGCCAACCAGACAAACAGCTCTAAAATTACCTACAATAAATAAGCGGATGCATAATTTCACTACACTAAAAACGAAGCTCGTCAGAAATAAGGCGACCAGCCCGCCAACTACTACCTTCCTCTTTCTCCACTTCTTCAATTTCCGAACTATTAACCTCTTCCTTCCTCCTCTAATATTCTCTCATCTCCTCTTTCTCGACAAAATGAAAAAAAACATAGGTTATGTCTTCCAGCGGTCTCTGGTTCTGTGACATCATTGCTCGCTGACATCATCATTCCTGGCCCATTCCAATCGGTCCCAATCTAGGTCCAAGGCCTGCTCGGGCCCAGTCCTAATTCTAATAGTTTCTAGACCTGATAGTACGCAGTCCAGATAGGTCTTGTTTCTAGTAATAATAATAATAATAATAATAATAATAATAATAATAATAATAATAGTAATAATGATAATAATAATAATAATAATAATAATAATAATAATAATAATAATATAATATATAGTATTTTTTTTAATAATAATAATATGTATATATATAGTAATGTTATAATAATAGCACCACATGACCCCCTCCGCTGTCTTTAGATGGCGTTGATGTTGTTTAGTGGTGTCGAACCCGCGTGTTTGTGTGAGGGAGTGGAGATGAATGTCTTTAATGGCACACATTCTCTCTCGGTCTGTCTGTCTCTCTGCCTGTCACACACACACACGCACACACACACACGCACACACACACACACACACACACACACACACACACACACACACACACACACACACACACACACACACACACACACACACGCGCGTATAAGGATCAGGAGGCAGCAAGTAGCGGTCGAAGAAAGTGTTAAACAAATGTCAAAGGTCGTAGCTCGCTCCCTTCGCCTTGCACAGAATGCAAGGGGATGCTAAACCAAAAGCTCCCTCTTGGGGCAAATCTTTAAATCTGAATCCCTGCTTAAGCCTCTTCCTTTGTTCCTCCTTTCTTCCTTTACCTATCTCCATGGCACCTTCCTTCCCTCCCCCCTTCCTTCCTTACCTCCCCCTTCCTTCCTTACCTCCTTCCTTCCTTCCCTCCCCCTTCCTTCCCTCCCCTTCCTTACCTCCCTCTGCCTTACCCCCTCCCTTCCTTCCCTCCTCCCTTCCTCTCCACGCCACCGGTCAACCTTCATCACCTTTTACTATGATCCAGACGAATTACCTTTCCAATAATCGCATTTGAAACCTACAACCACAGGCCTAACGCTACCTAGTTTAACCTCGCGTGACCTGACTAAACCTCACGTAACATAACCTTACCTACAGCCATAAACCTCTTTCGCAGTTAAATGTATTGAAACCAGGCACGATATAATAATAATAATAATAATAATAATAATAATAATAATAATAATAATAATAATAATAATAATAATAATAATAATACTAAAGAAAAAAAGATCAATAGTGACAAACAATATATGTATGTTGTGTTGTAAATAGTAAGAGAAAATCATTGAGACCCTGCAATTGTGTGTAAATGAGGCAGAAAGTCAGATAAGCAACCTGAGACTTGGTCACAATTTTCGTGATGCCAAATGGCAGCAGGGTCTACCATTACCATTAGACCATATATTATGCTTCCAATATCTTCCCAGGCGGTAGTACCTCCCTGTTTGATAGCTGCCTACTACCGTGCTAGTATGGGAAGGGTGTGTGTGTGTGTGTGTGTGTGTGTTTGTGTGTGTGTGTGTGTGTGTGTGTGGTGACCTGCGGTGTAATGGTCCGCTTGCTCGCCTTGAGAGCAAGTGGACCTGGGTTGTCATTCCCAGTGAAACTATAGGCAAGTTTCTTTAAGCCATTTGTCTCTGTCTACCCAGCAGTAGTGGGATCGTGTTCCCGGATAATGGTTAGCCAGTGCAGTTGCGAGTTGTCCGGTCTTCTCACATTATTCCTTAACACTAGGCCAATAGGCCATGCAACTCGTTAACTTTGGGTGTGGTTGTTGTGTTGGCGACAGCTTCTACACCTTAAACAAATTCACGCCTAGGTGGCCTTAGGGACGGCCATCCTCAAACACGAGGAACCTTATTATTATTATTATTATTGTTGTGTGTGTGTGTGTGGCCATCATGACTGTTTTGGTGTTCCGATTGACCAATGATAATCCGTACTCAAACATGAGTATATATATATATATATATATATATATATATATATATATATATATATATATATATATAATAACTATCGATATATACGATTTATAGGTAATTATCTTACCTTGCTTGTTCAGTAAGTATATTTTATATTACTTTGTTCCTGAATATATTAATTAAATCAGTTTAATGTTGTGTATTAGGTAGGTAAAATAGTGTGGTAATTGGTGACCTGATATCAGCACTGTGTGGGTCACTGGTCCACCAGCTCAGCCAGTGAGTGCAGAGAGCCAGACGAGCCTGGCTGGTGTGAGGGTGTGGTGCAAGTGTGGTACAGTTGATCTGTACTGTTCAAGTGTATGGTAGGCTGAGGTTAGGGTTTCGGTTAATTTAGTCTTTGGTTGTCTGTATTTCATTTGTTCCTTTATTTGTCCTTTGTATACAGTATATGTTCTCTACTTTTATTATATTCATAGGTTATGTAGTATCTGATTCTTCCTCAATACAATACCAATATTTTGAACCAATCTTAGGTTTATTATTAAGAACCTGGTGGCGATAATATGAGTCATTATAGTGTTAACCCTGTTTATTGTTGTGTCTTTTAGTGGCAGGGGTTTGTTTCATATAAAGAAATAAATCTGCCATTAGTGGTGCAATAAGCAAGGTCATCATATCTCACTGTCATCTAGCCTGTGACTGTATGGAAAATGATTAAGCGAGATATTAGTGACTAGTAACGATGTTAGTAAGCAAATAGACAAACTAAAGCCTAATAAGTCACCTGGTCCTGATGAGATATTTGCCAGAGTATTAAAGGAATGTAAGGAAGAGCTTAGTATGCCCTTAGCAAATTTGTTTAATATGTCATTGAAAACGGGTGTAGTACCAGAATCCTGGAGGATTCAGAATGTGATACCGATTTTCAAAAAGGGTGAACTATCACTATCGTCTAACTACCGTCTAATCAGTTTAAATCAGTTGTAGGCAAATTGCTGGAAGCAATAATTTCAAACTCTATTCGAAATCACTTCGAGACGCACAAGTTGCTCAATGATTTCCATTATGGCTTCACAAGTGGGCGTTCATGTTTGACTAATCTGTCGACATTCTTTTCAACTGTTTTCAATTCAGTGGATGACGGGCACGATTATGATCTGGTATACTTCGACTTTAACAGAACCTTCGACAGAGTCCCGCATGAAAGACTAATACGAAAACTGGAGGCTCATGGAATTGGAGGTGATATTCTAAAATGGATTGGGGCGTGGTTACAGGACGGGAAACAGCGAGAAAGCATTAACGACACTAAATCCAATTGTGATAATGTCACTAGTGGAGAACCCAAGGCTCAGTACTTGGACCATTACTATTTATTATACATAAACGACAAAGTTATAGACAAAGACAGCAATATAAGTAAATTTACTGTCGCCACTAAAATAGGCCGTATAATTAAATCTGACGAGGACTCCGCAAAACTTTAGAAAAATCTAAACAAATTTTTCTCATGGTCTGAAAAATGCCAGATGAAATTTAATGCGGACAAAAGTAAATTACTTAGTCTAGGAGATGTAAACAGAGAAACCAGATATCAGATGAACAACGTTGTTATAGAGAAATCCGACTGTGAGAAAGATTTAGGAGTAATGATAAGTAGGAATCTTAAACCAAGACAACAATGTTTATTTACTCGAAACAATGCTAACAAAGTACAGTACTTGGGTTCGTACAAAGGAGTGTTAGTTACAAGACTAGCGAGGTTGTCCTAAAACTATATCTTGCACTTGTGAGACCTCACTTGGATTACACGGTTCAGTTCTGGTCACCATACTACAGAATGGATATAGAATCCCAAGAAAGAAATCAGAGGAGAATGAAAAGACTAATTCCGGGCATTAGGAACCTTGAATACAGAGACAGGTTAAAGCATCTTAATTTGCACTCCCTCGAGAGACGTAGAGTGAGGGGCGATATGATCGAGGTGTATAAATGGAAGTCAGGGCTAAACAAAGGTGATATAACAAAGGTACTCAACCTAACCAACCAGGAGCCAACTCATAGCAATGGCTTTAATTTAGACAAATTTAGGTTTAGGAGCGAGATAGGTAAACAATGGTTTGGAAATAGAGTAGTGGATGAGTGGAACAAGTTACCAAACATCATCATTAACTCGAATACGCTGGAAAGCTTCAAATATAGGTTGGACGGATATATGTGCAATAGGGGTTGAGTGTAAACGGGACTGCCCAGTATGGACCAATAGGCCCGCTGCAGTTTCCTCCATTCTTATGTAATAATAATAATAATAATAATTAACGGTTTATTGAAAGAGCTTGGCAGCCAGAAGGCTGAAAATATACAGTTTCATAATTGGGGAATGGGTTTCGAATTACAAATAATATACAAATAACATAAGTGATATAACTAAGATATATAATAACTAGATGGGGAAAAGCTCAAACTACAGGGCATTTCAACATAGTGACAGTGCAAGAAGTAGTATTTACTGTTCTTATGTTCTTATGTTAACACAACTGAGTGAGAGTGTTGGTCCTCCTCCGTCAGGTAATCATGGGCGGGGGTCGTCGCGTGCTGCTGCCAGAGGACGTGTTGGACGTGGAGGAGAGCAGGTACGGTTACCGTAAAGACGGGAAGAACCTCATCAAGACCTGGGTGGAGGACAAGGCCAGCCAGGGGGCGAGAGCATCTTATGTCTGGAATAGGGACGACCTCTTGGCCCTCGACACCTCCAAAACCGACTACCTCCTAGGTGGGTCCTAGTGGGCTCAAGTGGGTCCTAATGGAATTGAAGGGCCCTAATGGTTCACAGGAGTTCTAATCCTTTTGAGTGAGCCTTATGTGGTTTCTGGTTTGGTTTAGGTGGGTCCTAGTGGGTTTTAATGGGTCCTAGTGAGTTGGAATGGGTTCTAGTAGGTTCTAGTGGGTCCTGGTGGATTGGAGTAGGTTTTAGTGGGCCCTAGATGATTGGAGTGGGTTCTAGTGGATCCTGGTGGGTTGGAGTGGGTTCTAGTGGGTTCTGGTAGGCCGGAATGAGTTCTAGTAGGTTCTGGTGGGTTGGAGTAGGTCCTAGCGGGTCCTGGTGGGTTGGAGTGGATTCTAGTGGGTCTTGGTATGTATGAGTAGGTTCTAATGGGTCATGGTGGGTTGGAGTGAGTGTATTAGCCCCCGTCTCATGGCAATAACAATTATATAAATTTTGGTTAATACATTTAGTTTATATGATACAATCACCCCAAGGTTATTTTCCATAAGCTGTGAGTTGCCATGTGCTGTTCACGTGAGGGGAAATTACTCTCTCAGTTGGCCGACCTTGAGAATGTAGGGTTAGCCCGGCTTCTCCTTCAGAGGCACCTTTCCCTCACAGGCACCTCTCCTCACGAGCACCAGTCTTCACTTGAGCCTCACGAGAATCGGACGGGTGACTTAACTCAGTCAAGCTGAGCCCTGTCCTTAACTAACACTCACAGCTTACAGTGTTAATTACTGTGCATTTACTAATAACCTTTGACCCTTTTAGTTTACCAATATATGGAGAAAAAGACCATTTGGGTTTGTAACTTAACCCCTTAACTTATTTATATATACAGTGAGCCAAGTTAAAAGGGAACTCTACCCAAAGCTTATATATAAAGGTGGCAGTGGTGGGATGTGCAAGCCCACTCGCGTCCAAATGTTTGCTAGCATAAGTTCCTTCTTTGATGTGACCGCGTACAAATGCTTTGCGTTCATCATCACCTGTTATTTGAATGTTTTTCATTACATCTTTACGTGACCTTAAAAATGTGATTACACAATAGTCATCCTCTGCCGTAAACTCCCGGATGCGATCACTGCCAGGTAATACTTGAACAATGTTTGCTTGGTTAGATGACATGCCGATGTTAGATGTAGCTATGGTTAGTGAGTTGTACATTTATCTCGAGGAATTATTATGAAACATTTAGTATCATTTGGAATAGTACACTTAACATGGTAGTAGTAAGAACATATCTGAATATTACCACGGTTATCACTTCGTTATTTATTTATTTTATTTATTTTTTTGCATTTAAATTGTAAGTATATACAATTATACATATTTTACAGTGGTATTGATATACATAAATATGATAAGGGAGGGAAGCAGTAAAACATGGCTTGTATTGAGGTGGAACAAGAGGACAGAAGCTGTCAGTATCATGTCTTGTCGGCAAATATAATTATTGCAATGGTAATTTCTACCTATCTACATGGCAATTTATGATATAATGATTTTGGTGGTACAATAAAAGCAAGAATATAAAGTAGGTATTACAAGAAATATTAAGACTTAGACAATATATATTTTCTAAGAGATGGTTTAAAGGAAGGGAGCGTAGTCTTTCTCGGGTGGCTGGGGGTAAGTTGGTCCACACCTTCACACGTGATATTTTATGGAGGTGTGGGACTGAGAGGATCATATGGAGGATGGTCTTAGTAGCTCTGGGTGTCTTAAGTTGTAGCTCTGATTATTCCAGAACTGTAAATAATTATTGTCAATTAAGTGAGTGACAGATTTGTAAATAAGTAGGGCACAGCAGTAGGTGTTAATGTCCTCGAATTTTAACATATTCAATTTCGCAAATTGTTCATTAATGTGATCAGTTTTTTTTTCAAGGTCATTGTCCGCACAACATTTTTCTGTACAGTAATCAGGGGTTGTGTTTTTGAAGAGCCAGAGGCCCCCCATAGTGTATGATAGTGTGTCAAGTGTTGGTAAGCAAGATCATAATAGATTTATTTAATTGCTGCAAGAGTGAGTGACTGACAAGTGTGATACAGGTTACAGAACTGTTTCTTGACTTTACTGTGAATGGCTTGTATGTGGTTTCTCCAACTAAGTTTCTCATCAACAATAACCCCAAGGAATTTAGTATTTTGTTCACGTTTGAGGACTGCATTACCAAGGCACAGGGGTCCAAATCTGGGGATAGGTTCTTCCTTCTGTGAAAGATCGCGTAGTGGATTTTTTTCCTCGAGGTTTAGGGTCAGTTTATTACGTATTACCCAGGTCCTGGCTTTAGTCAATTCAGTGTTCATAGTTCTCATCAAGGAATGGAGATCTGAGTTGCTGGCGTAGAGATTACTATCGTCTGCAAATAAGTTGTATTTTATGAGTGTGCTTGAGTGGACTATATCGTTTATCTACAACAAGAACAGTACAGGATCGAGAATGGAGTCTTGAGGGGTACCATGCAAATGATTTGTTATTTGTTATCTTTTAGAGAATCACAAAGGATTCAACAAGCCAGTGGAGGTCCTTCTCCACCAAAGGTCGGCGACATGGTTTTAATTTACAATGAAAGGCCTCATCTAATGTGGCGACTTGGCCGTATCATAAGGTTATTCCAGGGTCCAGACGGAGCCTGTAGAGTGGTTCAGTTGAAAACTGGAATTGGTCTAACTACTCGTCCAGCTGGTTGTAAAATTGTACCCAGTAGAAAGCAACTGTGATGGCGAACAATTCCTTTGCCGACAGATATTGCTCAGTCTGACGGGTTCATTACAAATTCACGTCCAAAAAGTCGGTCTGCTTTGGGGTCAGCCCAATTATGGCATTCCATGATTGGGGAAAGCCAATTATAATGTAATATTAATTTGGTGGCGGGAATATATCGTAACTGCTAATATGATATGTTGAATAGCATAACGATCGAAATAATGTAGGAAATATAGTTAGGGAGTTATATATATGTTGCATTTAATTTAGGTTATGCTTAGTTAAAGTAATATTTAATAGTTACCTGAATTTCAAATAATTACTCCTGATTTACATAATAGTCTTGCGCGAGTCTACATTCGTTTGTTCTGCGCGCACATCCTACCAGCTACCGTTGAATGTCAAATTACGTGCCAACGACAGCTCCTTAACACAACACTCACCACCTTCAGTAAAAACCGGCAGTCATGGAGGGGCCCACCAACCGAGCTCGACCATTAATTCCTGACCTCCATCCACATCAGCAAACCTTGAGTATCAATTTTTATTGTAGGATATCCTAAGTTTGTACTTAGTTTGGTGTAATGATGTAATTTAAACTCCGACATTGCCACTTAAGTTAATCACCCATTTCGAGTGTTTATTTAATGTATATAACTTAATGTAAATATTTCTTGTCCAGATATCAAGCAGCTAAGGACAGAAAGTAAACTATTGCACAAAAACTAGGATATCACCGCAATTAACGTTATGAGCTGTGAGCGTTAATAAGGTACGAAGCATTGTGTAACGAGCTTGGTGAGCACACATCTACAGTAGTGTGCGTGAGAGACGGGGAACAGACTGGCGAGTGGCGAGAGAGCCGATTACTTAATTGATGACTCTGCAGTCACGGGCCGAGAGTTCCTACACTGTCACATAGGCTAGTTACCGTGGGTGATGTAATTATATAAACCTAATGTATATAACTCACATTTATATAAGTATTATTGTCTGTTACTGTGAGTCACCCCATGTCGTAGTGGGTCCTCGTAGGTCGTAGTGGGTCCTCCTATGTCCTGGTGGGCCTACGGACAAAACCCCAACCCAGTATATGAAAAGTGAACAAAACCCCAGTCTCATATATAAAATAAAACACTTATATTAGGTTAGGTTAGGTGCTTCTATATGTCGCTTTGTCGGTCTGTCGGTTTAAACAGTTCTCAGGTGTTGGCATATAAGACAATGTGTCGTTAAAAAATCCCCAGGTGTTGGCATATAATAAGCTGATCACTACTTTGATCTCTTGTTGTTGATGAGGTGCCATGACACTAAGGTGCTTCACAGTTCCCAAGTGTTGACAAATGACAAGCTTTGATCCATGAAATAATGAAAAATTAAATATCATAATGAACCTTTTTATACTTGACTGGGGTTTTGTCCACTTTTCATATAATGGGTTGGGGTTTTGTCATAGATTCGTCCTGGTGGGTCCTCCTAGGTTCTAGTGGGTCTTCCTAGGTCGTAGTTTGTCCATATATGGCCCAGTGTAGCCTCTTAGGTCCTAATGGAGTCCTCCGAAGTCCTAGAGAGTCCTTATGTTCTATTGGGTCCTTCTAGGTCCTAGTGAGGCAGGTAGTAGTGGGTCCCCCTAGGTCCAAGTGAGACATCCTCGGTGCCAGCGGATCATGCTAGGTCCCAGTGGGTCATCCTAGGTCCCAGTGGGTCATCCTAGGTCCCAGTGGGTCATCCTAGGTCCCAGTGGGTCATCCTAGGTCCCAGTGGGTCATCCTAGGTCCCAGTGGGTCATCCTAGGTCCCAGTGGGTTATCTTAGATCCCAGTGGAACATCCTAGGTTCTAGCGAGTCATCCTAGGTCCACGTGGGTCCTCCTAGATCCTAGTGAATGGTAATGAGTCGTCCTATGGGATCCTAGTGGGTCATCAAAGGACCTAGTGGGTCATCCTAGGATCCAGTGGGTCATCCTACGTCCCAGTGGGTCATCCTAGGTCCCAGTGGGTCATCCTAGGTCCCAGTGGATCATCTCTAGATCCCAGTGGGTCATCTCTAGATCCCAGTGGGTCATCTCAGATCCCAGTGGGTCATCCTAGGTCCCAGTGGGTCATCTCTAAATCCCAGTGGGTCATCCTAGATCCCAGTGGATCATCCTAGTGAATGGTAATGAGTCGTCCTATGGGATCCCAGGGTCACCCTAGGTTTCAGTGGGTCATCCTAGATCCCAGTGGGTTATCTTAGATCCCAGAGTTATCTTAGATCCCAGTGAGTTATCTTAGATCCCAGTGGGTTATCTTA